TCATTGAGCTGAGTAGGGACATCTTCCTCAACGTCCTTCTGAAAACATTCCCATGGTGATGTGCTCTAGTGGGTTCCACTGAGAAAGCAGGAAAGAGCTTCCTAAATCTAGAGTCAGGAGATTTTGTTTCAAATCCTGATTCCAACATGCTTTGTGACCTGACCCTTCACAACTCACTTAAACTACCTCCTTAGACAATTATACACTTCCTGGATGATGGATTTTATGTCACATTTTGTGGATGAGTCATCAGTTTATAGGATCAAGTCACTTAAACTCTCTGAGCCTCAGTTTCTTTTTTTTTCACAAGGTAAATTGGGGTTAAGTGACTTGCCCAGGGTCACACAGCTCGTAAAGAGCCTCAGTTGCTTTACTTGTCAAATGGGAGTCATAATGCTTGCTATGTCTCCAGGTTGCTGTGAGGAGAAGGGGCTTTGTGAATCTCAACTTGCCACAGAACTTGTGGTGGTGGTGGTGGTTGTCACTATTGTAATCATTCCTAATATTCCCCAAGACCCATTCCTTGACCCTTCGTTATTCTAACTACAAAACTCCCTTGGAATGCTCTCCCAAAAGCAGAGCTTCAATTTCCTCTCTGTGCTGAAGATTCCAAAAGTGTAATCTGTTTTCACAGGAGTGCCAACTCTACATCACAAAGTCCCTCTGTCCATTTTCACTGGATCATGTTACTGCTGCTTGAAACAATATTCTCAGTTTGAACTCTTCCTCATTCCTTCCCCATCCATGGTTTTCCCTGACTATCATTTATATCATTATTTTCCCCTTCACCTAGCTTCCACCCTGGAAGTCATCTCTGATTCATCCATCTGCTTCCCCTCTATCCAATCAGTCACATGAATTCTTCTGAAGAATTACATCTAAAACCCTACCCTTCTTCATTGCCACTAGCACCCTACTGTAGTCTGGATTCTCATAGTCTCACTCTTAGATTGCTGCATCAACTTCTAAACTAGCCTTTTCTGATTCTAGACTTTCCTCCTTCCAACTCATTTGACATACACTCAAAATATTTCAATACTTAACAAGCATTTTGTAAACATTTATGATGTGCTGCAAACACTATTCTAAGTGACGGACATAGAAAGGAAAAGTGAAAATAATCCTTACCCTCAAGGAGTTTACCTGATAACAGGAGATCCATATATACATAAAGTTACATAGAAAATATATACAGAATTTATGGAAGGTAATCTAAGAGGGCAAGGCATTAGCCATTGGAGAGGGCAGGAAAGGCCTCCAATGGAAGGAGGCTGAGCCCTGAAAAATGCAAGCATTATAAGAGGCAGAGGTGAGGAAGGATAGCACTTCAGGTGTGTGGAGGCTTCCCTCAACCCCCAGTGCATAGGTACAGAGGAAGAAAATATTTATTTACAATTTCCATCTTAGTGATAAAGAAAGAAACATTTAGAGCTGTGCTGCTACCTTTTTTTTCCCCAAGTGACTTTAGGGCATAATTTATTTTTGAGTGACTCAAATCAGAAAAGATGAAAGTTTTTCCACCATGTACTTCACTAATGAGGAAACTCATATGCATGAAACAAGCATCCTTTTCAGCCTTTCTAATGCTAGTATCTTTTCTCCTTGACACTTGTCTGTTCAAAGATGATCCATAGTGAAATATCCTCGTGATCTCATAAATGTGAATACTCCTTCCACCATGGCAGATCTCAACCTATCAACGGCTTCTTAACCTGGGTAATCATTATCTATATACTCCATAGAAGATCTATCCAATGCACTGAAGGTGCTTTTCTAGATCTTTTAACACTCTGTGGGCTGAATTACAGCACTGAGATTATCCATCTGCCATCCCTGTCTTTTGCTACATGACTAACCCACCTCCTTAGACAATCATGCACTTCTGGATGATGGATTTTCTGCCACATTTTGTAGGTGAGTCATCAGTTTAGAGAATCTGAGTCACCTCAGACAGGAAGCACTTTGGAAATGGGCCCTCATCTGCATCCCAACACCTATCCCAGCCTTTGCTGGTTGACATGCTTAATCTGGAATTATCCTCCCATCACAGAATTTCAGAGCATAAAACCTCAGATACTATCTAGGCAGCTAGGTGGTGCAGTGGATAGTGGTGGACCTAGAGTCAGGAAGACCTGAGTTCACATCTTGCTATATATGTGATCACTCTCTGCCTCAATTTTCTTTTCTTTTTTTTTTTTTGGCTAGGCAATGGGGTTAAGTGACTTGCCCAGGGTCACACACCTAGTAAGTGTTATGTGTCTGAGGCCTGATTTGAACTTAGGTCCTTCTGAATCCAGGGCCAGTGCTCTATTCACTGTGCCACCTAGCTGCCCTCCTGCCTCAATTTTCTCATCTGCAAAATGGGAATAATAAATAGCACCTATCTCCCAGGTTTCTTTTGAGGATAAAACAAGATAATATTTGTAAAGACCCTTATATATTTCAAAGTGCCCTATAGATGCTATTTCCATCATTATCTAGCTCCACCTGGTCTTGAAAAGAGAATCTCTACCATGATACACTCATTGAGTGGTCATCTGGCCCTGGCTTGAAGGCCTCTGTTGAGTGAGAATCCACTGCCTTCCCAGGCAGCTTCTTCCACTTGGGACCGCGCTCACTGCTAGGAAGGAGCTCCCACACACTGAGCCTAAAGTTCACTTTCACTCATTGATTCTGGTCCTCTGAAAAAGGACCTATGAAAATAGCTATCCTTTGCCCCTTCCCAAGTCTTCTCTTCTCTAGGCTATATATATGCAGTTCTTTAAACCAATATAGAGTAGACTTAAGACCCCTCATCATTCTGGGGCCCTCTCTCAATTCCCTCCAGCTTATTCATGGTCTTCCTAAAATGTAAGGACCAGAACTAAGCATAATACTCCACGTGTGGTCTGTGCATGGCATAGCATTTATCTAGTGCATACTATGTCCAGGCACCGTGCTAAGGGCTTTACGATCACAATCTCACTTGATTCTCATGACAACTCTGGAAGGTAGGTACTATAACTATCCACATTTTACAGATGAGATAACTGAGGCAAATAGGTGAAGTGACTTGCCTAGGGTTATACAGCTGGTTAAGTGTTTGAGGCTAGATTTGCATTGAGGTCTTCCAGACTCCCAAGTTCTATCCACTGTGTCTTAAAACACTATATAAATGCTATCTGTGATGATGATGATAATAATAATAATAATAATACTGTTACTATTATAAGCTCTATGAGGGCATAATAAGCTCTATTACTTGCTCTATGACCACATCTTATCTAAACTTTGTATTTACTCCAGCGTTCACCATAATCCATATTATTATGTGAAAGATGCATTTGTGTCCTGCATACAAATTAGTTTTAGATATTTTTTGCCTGAGGATCAGAGGGGTCAAGTGACTTGCCAATGGTCACACAGCTAGTAAGTGTCAGAGGTACAACCAGGTCTTCCTGACTCTAAGCCTAGTCCTTGACCCAGTACAGCTTGCTACTGCTGTACTCCACACACAAGAGGCACTAGACAAGTTAAAAACCTGGGCGTCTCTCTCCTTCCCTTACTGTAGCCATGAAAGCCAGCCTGAGGCCTTTCACACTGAACTTCACCATCACCAGCCTCCACTATTCGGCAGATGTGGGACGTCAGGACTCACACAAGTTCAATATCACAGACGCCATTATGCAGCATCTGGTGAGACTGCGTACCTCCAGCCCTCCTGCCTATTTGCCCTCATGTCCTGACCATGACCCGACATACTCACCTTTTTTTTTTTTTACCCAGCTTGGCCACTTGTTCAAAAACAGCAGCATTGGCTCCCTGTACTTTGGATGCAAGGTTCTTGAACTCAGGTGAGGCTGCCAAGCTGGGGACTTGCAGGTGACTCCCCTGGGAAGGTGCTCTGGGTTTGAGCCAGATTCCAAAGATTTCTTCTCTACACATTGGCTCATAAATTCTGTTTCCTCTAGTTTCACAGTACCCAAGTCCAAAGGTATTCCTTCTCCTTTCTCTCATAGCCTTCCAGAGGACATATGTTTTGGGGTTTCTATCTAGAGCCAGTTCTATTCTTAACACTCATCCATCCATCCATCCATCCATCCATCCATCCATCCATCCATCCGTCCATCCATCCTTCCATTCACCAGCATTTATTTAGCACCAGCTGTGTTCTGGGCACAGTGGCAGGCACTGGGGATTAAAAAGCAAAACAACAACAAAAAACCCAAATAGTCCTTGTCCTCAAGGAGCTTACAATCTTTTGGGGGAAAGCAAAGGAGTCATTCCATTGTAATCTGAGCAGAACTTTGGCTATGCCTGAGTCCTTTCTTGGTTCTATTGATGCTAATAGCATTGAAGTCAAAAGACCTGAGTTCAAATTTCAGCTTTAATACATATTAACTATATGAACCTGGATGAGTAACATGACCTCCCTTTTCTGAATTTCTTCATCTGTAGAACAGAGAAGACAAATACTCACACCATCTTCTTTATAAAGTTACTCTAAGGGAGCACTTTGCATTGTCATTACAGAAATGAGAGTTATCTCATTTACTGTTTTCTCATTTTAAAATATTTGTAAAGGATTGTATGCCTTCCAGTATTTCCAGATTTATCAATAGTATTTCCTTTCCTAGATCTATGAAGAAAAAGGATCACAGACAGGTGTGAGTGCCCTCTGCACCTACCACCAGTTCCCCAGCAGCATTGTTCTGGATGCCAAGCAGGTTTTCCATGAGCTGAGCAACCAGAGTCATGGCCTCCAGAAATTGGGCCTCTGCTACCTGGACAAGGACAGTATTTACCTCAATGGTAAGCAGTCTCATGGTGGGAAGGCTTATCCCAGTCCCCGCCTTTTGTCTCTTCCCCTCCTCATCTGTTTTAATTGGACAATTAGCTTTTTCTTCTGACCACTGTGAACAAGGTTATAATCTCATCCAGAAATTCAGAGGACAAAAAGACAGACTTCTAGAGACCATACCTGTTCACCTAAGGAGCCATTTTCTCAGAGCTTTTTGACTTGCTCTCATTTGATGGCCACTGTAGAGAGCTTTCCTTGGTCCTGTTTTGTTCAATATTTTTATCAGTGGCTTGGAAAACAATGTAGATGGAAGCCAATTATAGATCCCGTGAGTTGAGGAGAGAAGAGGTAGTTGATACCTTTTCTGGGTGGACCACAACCCAGAAAGTTGAGATAATGCGACAAACTTAACAAGGTAAAATTTAATAGGAATAAATGTAAAATTCCACATAAGTATAGAATAGGGAAGATATGGTTATTTACTATAACAATTTCTGGGAAGGTATCCTGGGGGTCTTATTGAGGTACAAGCCAACAGTGTTGTGTGGCAACCAAAAGATCTCTGGCCCTGTGAGTCTATGCGGAAAGAATTCTAGCGTCTAGAAGGAATGAGGTGATTGTCCTGGTTTTTGTTGTTGTTTATTTACTATTTTATTTTTCACTTATTATAAGTAAAAATTATATTATATGTATTTATTATATGTAAAAAATGTTTTCTTACATTTGTTTCTTTTTAATTTTGAGTTTCAAATTCTCTCTCACTCTACTTCCGTCTCCTCTCATTGAGAAAGCAAGCAATTTGATATAGATTATACATGTGGAGTCATGCAAAACATATGTGACAGTCCTGTTGTCCTATAATCTGTCCAAACCACATTTGCAGCATTGTAATCAGTCCTGGAGCCATGTCCACTATTCAGCAGACATAAAGGGTGGGAGCTCAGTCAAGTTCAATAGCATGGGCAGTCATGCAGTACCTGGTGAGATGGTCTGACTTCAGGGGTCATTGACAAGCTAGGGTGATGAATAGAGAGGTACAACCTGGATGGAAAAGTCACTTGAAGCTATGCCCCAGGAAATTAATCAAAGAAAATTGAAATGTTTAGCACAGAGAACAGAGGATTGAAGGAACTGTCCATGGGCAGATGACACAGAATTCTTTGACTTGGCCCCAAATCTAAGAAAGAATTGACTAGCCCTCAGAGCTGTCCCAAAGCAGAAGGATCTGCTTTTGGATTTAGGGAGTGAAGTGTCCATGTACCTGAAGGACTCTAGGCAGAGGCTGAATGGCCACTTGTTGGGGTTTCTATACAGGAAATTGGTTCATGTTGAAATTGGATTTGAGACCTTCCATGCCCCTTCCACATCTGAGATTCTAGGCAGGGAGTGCTGGCAGGTTTCTGACACCATCTTGGTTAGTCTTTACTCTTGTCTTAGTTCCCTCTGGCTGAGGAAACTCTCATCAGATGGCCTCAGTCATCTTAGTAAAAGACTGCATGGTACCATGGGAAACATGCTAGATATGGAGTCAGGGGATCTGGATTCAGATCCTGGCCCTTTCATTTCCTGCCTGTGTCACCTGTGTGACCACACGTTACTTTTTCTTAGTGGATAGGGCACTGGACTTGGAGTCAAGAAGATATTGTTCAAATCTTACCTTAGACACTTACTAGCTGGGTGACCTTAAGCAAATCCTCATAATGCTGATAATTATCTAATTAATGATAATGACAATAATAATAATAATAGCATTTCTGTAACATGGAATGTTATCTCATTTGATCCTTACAATAACCTGCAAGGTAAGGTGCTATTACTGTCCTAATTTTCCATATGAGAAAACTGAGGTTAAGCCCAGCTAGCAAGAGCCTACGGCAGGATTCAAACTCATCTTCCTGATTTCAAGCCCAGCACCTAATCCACTGTGCTGCCCTGAATAATAAGTCATTTAGCTTCTCTGAGCCTCAGTTTCCCCATCTGGAGAAGGAAGGGGTTACATCATATAGTCTCTGAAGTCCCTTCCAACTCTATATTTATGATCCTGAGCTTCCCATCAAGCCAGGAGAGTGGGAAGAGCAGCTAGTTTGACCATTTTTTCCCACTATAGGCCAGAGGAGAAAGAGTGCATTATTTCAGGCATTTAATGTCTCTTTATCTCATTCTCATTCCTCCCAAGCTGTAAGCTTCTTCCTATTCTCCCTACCTCATGCCAGAGTGGTAAAGCACTCTCCCAAGAGGCAGATCTGTGTCCAAGTGACCAAGTGCAGCAGAATGGATCCTGTTTAACTGGGCCATTCAGTCTGAGCATTCCTTTTTTTCTCTTCCACCATGTTGTGCTCACTCCCCTTTTGGTTTCCAGTTTAATAAATGTGGTCCACTCCTACCCAGTGTTGGTAAGTATGTTGACACTCTAATCTCATTTGAATCCTGGGCCATCTGGGAGCCCTGAACCTTATTCCCCTCTTGATACTTGGAGTTGGGCCCCAATATGATAGTGTGAAACTGGTCATGGCCTTTGCCCAAGCCCCTGACCCTGTAGCCCATTCAGATGTTATGAGAAAGGAATCCAAGAAGTAGATTTAGCAGCCTTTGGGAAGTAATGAGGAAGAAAGGCCTCTATCACCAGAGGCCTTCAAATGGAGGGTAAATGATGACTTGTCAGGGATATTGGAGTGTGGGTGTTCTTCAACTAGATGTGCTCCTTTTAGCTCTGATAGTATACAATCTGGTGATTCTGTGAAGAAAAGGCTCCAGTTAAGGGAAAGGGAGCTCAAAATCCTTCCAGTCCCTCTTGCCTTCTTGCCATGGCCTTGTGTTCCACCGTTTCCACTTCCTTTGTTAGAAATTGGGTGGAGATGACTTGTTAAGATGTCTTCACAATCAGTAAATTATTCAGCAAACATTTATTAAGCTCCATCTATGTATCAGCCACTGTACTAGGTACTGGGAGTATAGAGTCAAAAAATGAAGCAATTTTAGCTCTAAAGGGGTCTACATTCTATTGTGGGGGATGACATGTGTCTGTATATATATGTATACATATATGCACATCCATACACACATATATGTATATGTAGAATAATATTCAAATTAATTCAAGGTTGTTGGGAGGGTGAGAGCAATTGGGGGCAATCAGAAAAGGCTTCTCGTAGAAGATGGTGCTTGAGCTGTGTCTTGAAGGAAGAAAGAGATTCTCTGAGGATGAAGCGAGGAGGAGTGCATTCCAGGCATGGGACAAGGCCAGTGAAAAAGAATGGAGTTGAGGGATATAGTACCCTGTGTGAGAAGCAGAGAGGTCAGTTTGGCTAGATCATAGAGACTGTCAAGGAGAATATAGCATCTTGAGGCAGAATAAGGTAGGTCAGGGCCAGGTTACTAATGGTATAAAAATGGTTCTGGAGTCAGAAGATCTGGGTTCAAATCCTGCCTCTTACAGCCAGTGTTCTCATGAAAGACTCCCTCCACAAGAACCTGGGCAGGAACAAAGGCATTGGACCCCAATGATTCAATCATTGGGTGAAGAAGCATATATTGAGTCACTCCCTCATGAAGGGCCCTGAGCTCATACATAGACCCCCACAACTGACCCAAACTCTCTACTTGGAAGTACTCAAGGTCTCTGTCAATCTATAATTATTTCCCTTTTTTTTTTTTCTCAGTTCCAGGTCCAGCCACAACAGTTGCATCTAAGCCTGCCCTGGGGCCCATATGTAACCCAAAAGCTTTAAGACAGAACCAATACATTGGATGACAGAGTTGGAATCCCAAAGTATAGGCTAGAATGTTGGTGTCAAATCTAATAAGGTGAAACCTAATAGGAATAATAAAACTTTATATCTGGACTCTAAAAACCAACTTCATGAGTTCAAGATGGAGGAGCTGTGCTAGACTTCTCTGAAAAAAAAATTGGGAATTTTAATGGACTACCAGCTCAACAAGGTTCAACAATGTTGTATGATAAATAAAAAAGTTAAGAAAAATCTTAGGCTGTGCTGAGAAAGATAACATATTCAACTATCTCCAGGTGGTTAAAGGGCTGTCACAGGGAAAAGAAAAGGGCCTGGACTTGTCCTGCTTGGTGTCCCAGAGGGCTGAACTAGTAACAATGAGTAAAGTTGCAAAGAAGCAAATTTATGCTTGACGTCAAGAAAACTTTCCTATTGAGTGGTGGTATACCAAACTGAGATGGTCTACTTCAGGAAGTAAAAGGTTACCCTTCCCTGAAGAACTTCAAATAAATAACTACTAGATCACCACTTGTTGGGGACATTGTAGAGGGGATTCTTGGTCAGTTATGGGTTGGACCAGGTCATCCCTGAGGTGCTGCATTCTGTCAATCCTTATTCTTGGTGTGTTGAATTTCTCTTCTAAGCCAGAAGACTGGGGAGAGCAGTCTGGTGACAAGCCAGGGCAACCTGAAGGTTTGTTCTGCTCTATGTTTAGATACAACAGAGTAGATCAAGGCTATGTCCTTTATTACATTTGTCATGTCAGAGAGCTGGCAGGTGCCAGGATAATTCTCTTGTCCCTTCCCTCAAAGAGGCCAAGAGATAGCAAGCTGAGCCACCAGGTCTTTATTCTCCATCTAGCCTCTCAAGTGTTCTGGTTCTCTTCCCATCTCCTTTGATATTTCCTTTCATTGTCTGTCCTTTGTTTTCCAAGTTATAATGAACGCAGTCTAGCCCAAACCATGACAAGTAAGTGTCTTGTTATATAAATATCATTTGATTCTCAGGCCAGTTGTGATTCCTGAAATTTCTTCACTTGTGGGATTGATCCATAGTATGACTGAGAAAAGTGAAATCATCATGGCTTTCTCTAAAATCTGTGCCCTTAAAACTCACTTGAGTGTTATTAGAAAGGACTCCCTAGATTAGAATCAGCTGCTTCGATATGCAATGAGTTTCTAATGAGTTTCTTATCACTTTAACTCTTCAGGAAGATGGTGGCTAGTCTTTTTTTGTCAGAGATATTAGGGAATTCCTGGTTTATATGCCCTCTGAGGAGGCTTCCAGTGCTGAAAATTACACGTGGAAAAGATCCCAGGTAGAGAAAAGGGACCTTTGTTCCTTCTGACCTTTCATGACCAGAGACATTGCCTCACTCTCTGGGATTCCCATGTCCTCTATCCAAGGCTGCATGTTGATAACTCAATAAATTGTCTTAATAGGAATGTCCAGGGAATTGACATTTCACAAATGAACCTCAGTTGTAAAAGTGTGCCTGGAGCAGGAATTACTTGATCAGACCTTGAGACCTTAATTCTATTTCTGCTAAAGACATTACTAGCAGTGAAAGTAACCTTAGTCAGTGAAAGCCCCTCATATGGTCACTCAAGCAGTTATCAAAGGAGTTTGATCTCATTCACTTATTTATTTTGTCAAACATTATTAATCACTTCCTGCATATAGAACCCAGAGATGGTGCCCAGTCAATAATCATTTCTTAATCTCTTTCTATGTGTTAAGTGCTGGGAATAGGAAGAAAGGAAAAAAAGAGTGCCTGCCCTCAAGGAGTTTGCAATCTTAACTGTGTTCCCCTGTATGTTTACCTTTTAATAAGACTCTTTCTCTGCAGCTTCGGGGTCAGCCACTGGATCAACCTTCACTCCTTCACTAGGATCTACAGGGCCTGGAGCCTACGCGGGTAGGAATATGGTGACTGAAGTATTCTGGAAAGTGCTCACTGGGCTTTTCAAAGCTCTTGAAAGAAGGAAAAAGGAAACAGACTTTATCCATACAAATCCTTCTTACTCTAAGAAGTAGAGGCAAGACAAGATAGGAGGTGTGACTTGTCCTCTGAGTTCTCCTGTCATACAGAACAGACAAGATTTAAACATTTGATAATTTACCAGAAAGATCCATGCAGGCACTTGGCATAAATCTTTGTATCCCACTCAAAAGATGAGGAAAATGAAAGCCCCCTCACAAAAGCCCCCCTTGTCTGACCAGCATTAGCAACAAAATCCTTTTTTGTTTTTTGGTGAGGCAATTGGGGTTAAATGACTTGCCTTGGATCACACAGCTATTGTCAAGTGTCTGGGGTTGGATTTGAACTCAGGTCCTCCTGACCTTAGGACCAGTGTTCTATCTACTACATCACCTAGCTGCCCCCAACAAAATCCTTTTACCTCAGTCCCTGACACCTCTTGTAATAATTCAACTTCATCTTATTCTCTGCTAGAATATGGGTCCCCACTTGGTAATCTCCCCTATTAGATTCTGAACTTCTTGAAAGCAGAGGGATCATAGGGCAGTGAGGTGGTGCAGTGGATAGAGCAGTCAGGAGGACTTGAGTTCAAATCTGGCCTCAGACCAAACACTTGACACTTACTGGCTGTGTGACCCTGGGCAAGTCACTTAACCCCAATTGCCTAAAAATTTTTAAAAAAAATTTAAAAAGCAGGAACCATATTTTGCCTTTTTTTGTATCTCCAGCACTTAGTACGGGTTCTTGTATATAGTAAGTGCTTAATAAATTTTTTTTATTGATCAATCTTGACCAAGCCAAGTAAAGCCCCTTTCCCATCCAATGGTCTTCTCTTCGTTCTGTAGTTTTACCAGTTGTGGTTTTACCAATGGTTTTCTTCCTAATTTATTCTCTGCTCCTGTGTCATCAACTTTTGCTCCAGTAACATCTTCCAGCCCACTACCATTCTTTACGAGCACAAGTACAAACTGTTAGCATCTCTGAATCCTTCCCTGGAGTGTCTTAATGGGCTTTGTCATGAGATATTTGTCCTTGGGGAAAAGCTGAATAAAGTGGGAAACTTTCCTACCAGGGATATCAGTGGAACCAGGGTAATGAGTTTTCCTTCCAGAAAAGAATAGAACGGCCACTCGGTGTCCCTGGGCATGCTAGCAGACATGGCTCCTGCTCACACATAGATGTTTCTCTCCCTTTCTTTCTTCAGTTAGTGGCACTGCTAACCTGGAATCTTTCCTTCTAAACTTCACCATCACCAACTTACTCTATGCAGAAGACATGGGGAACCCAGGTTCTGACAAATTCAACTCTACAGAGAGGGACCTTCAGCTCCAGGTTAGTCTTCCTCACTGCCTGTCCCATCCCCCAACTGCACAGCCGCCTTCCCCATTCCTTGGTTGGGATTTGTCTTCTCTTACCCCCAGGATCACATGACTCTTTCCTTCCTTCGCCAGATCAGTCTCTTATTCAGAAAAAGTAGCATTGGCCCCTTCTACTCTGGGTGCAAGGTGACTTTTTTGAGGTAACCATTGAAATGTGTCCCCCATACCCTTGAGGATTAACCTCCAATGGAGCGTGGATAAAAAGGAAACTTGTTCATGTACTTGCCTTTAGTCTTGTTTTCTCTAGTTTCAAATTCAAATCCCAAACAACTTTATCCCAGTCCCTCTCATCCATGAGTTCTCAGGAAAGACAATTTCATTCGTAAGTAATGATTTAGAACAAGCAGTCTAATGTCAAGAATGTTCTCTGGTTTCTCAGTACTCAGTAATGCTAACTCATCAACTATTCCAAGGTCACCATCAGCCTTTCCCAGGTCACCTCAGTTTAACTATCTCTAGACCCAGAATCCTCATCGGGTTTCTCAGCACCAATTTCGTGGGTATCCATGTCACCCTACACATTTTTTTACCTAGACCTATGAAGAAGAGATTTGCAGCTGGAGTGGATTCCCTGTGTACCCATCACATTGTCCCTGCCAACCCTGTCTTGGACAGAGAGAAGGTTTACTGGGAGCTGAGCAGGGAGACACATGGTATCACCAGGCTGGGTCCCTATGCCCTGGACAAGGACAGTCTTTACCTTGATGGTGAGCTATCTACCTGAACCAAAATCTTGGCTACTCTCCCTGCCAAGTCTTCTGCTATACCCTCAATATCATTGTCTCTTCACATTTTAAAGCATTATTCTTTTATCCAGGCCCTAACTCCACCCTTACCCAGAATCCTTTCTTCCAATTCCTCCTTTGTTCGGCTAACTATAAGAGATAGAACCTACCCACACCTGATTCCCTAGACTGCCCAATACTTGGTGCCCTTCTGAGTTGTCATCTATTGTAGCCACAGATATTTGTACTTCATCCTATTTTTTTGGTCACAAATCCAGCCTTTTCAGTAATTACTAGGTTGGAGATGTAGATGGCAGCAAGTAGAAGTATAGATAACATGAATTTAGCAAGGATAGCTATCTAAGAAGTAGGATGGAATCAGAAGCTTGAAAAAGTCTCAACACACTGAAATAATGGTTCAGTTCCAACAAGGTGAAATTTAATAAGAATCAATCTGTTCTGTAGGGGAAGGAAGTGAATTGGAAGGAGAAGGATCTGGGTTCAAATCCTAGCTTTGCTATTCCTCTTGGTTTGGCTGTTGACTAACTAACTAATCTATATGGGCCTCAGCTCTGTCTTCTGTAAAATAAATGTGTTGGCCAAGATGTGGTCTGTGCCAGCTCCAAATTTATGATTTTAGAATCCTAAGTTCTGTGTTTAGGACTTTAAAAAAAAATCAAAATAAGTATATAGATTTGGGGAGACAGGACTAGATAGCATTTTATTTGAAACTAATAAGAGCCATCCAAGTGATATGGCAGGCAAAAACAACACTCATATGTTAATATGTTAATGCATCATCCTCGGGCATGGGAATTCCCTCCCATGAGGCAAATTACAGCCTATCAAAAACTTGTCATCTTAGAGAGTTGCCTGAGCCTGAGATTAAGTGATTTTCCAGGATCACACAGTTCTTTCAGTGTAAGACATGGGTTCTGAGTTAGGATCTTCTTGGCTCTGAATTCCCAGTTCAAGCCACTTTCCCATGCTATCTCTGGTCATAAATGAGTAGTCTGCAAGAACAGAAGTTTAGGAGCCTGAAAGGAGGAAGGTGACAATCCCATTTTCCTCTGCCTTGACAAGCTGAAGCAAGTCCATTTTGAGAAGCCGCAGTCTGGAGAGACAATTGAAAACTATAGGGTAGAGGCAGATAGGCAATGCTGTAGATAGTGTCCTGATACTAGAGTCAGGAAAACCTGAGTTCAAATCCTGCCTCACAACTCACTGGCTGTGTGACCTGGGCAAGTCACTTAACCTCTCTGATCCTCAGTTTCCTCATCTGCAAAAGGAGGATAATAATAGTAACACCAATCCTCATAAATCTGTTGTGAGGATAAAATGAGATAACACGTCCAAAGTGTTTTGCAAGCCTTAAAGCACTGTATATCAAATACTAGTGGTGATGATGGTGACAGCTAGAAGGAACTGTTCGTGTTTAGCTTGGGGACATCACGATAGAATTCTTCAATTATCCAGAAGAGTGTAATAAGGAAGAAGGTTTGGATTCTGCTGGACCCCAGAAGGCAGAATTAGGAGCAATGAGTGATTCCTTAGGCCAGAGAAGGAAAAGTCTACATTTGCTCCCACAGGAAATCACTTAAAGCTACAAGCCTCTTTGGTCTCTCTTCCTTCCTGGCTGGGTCTCAGACAAGAGTTAGGC